AGGAAGCTGTTGAGGTGGTGGTGATTGGATGGATTTATTTCTGCCTCTTACTTTTTTATTAGCAATTAAAGACTGTGTACAGTGTAAAGATGTGCACCATGGCTAGGATCGAATCCCAGCTGTGCCATGTGCCACTCATAGCCAGAAACAAGAAACACAATTGCAAACATATGACCAAATGGCTGGAATCACCTTCCCTCTTTCGCTGACTGTGTAATAATTCATTTTTTCACATATTCACATGGCATAGCATTCTCCTTCAAGCGTGTTGAGGTACTTTTCTGTTTCTGTTTCCGGAGGAGATGTAAACTGCATGGGCATTGCATTTTGCCATAACAAAACCTTGTATCTCCACAATGGTAACTTTATAGAGGAAGGAAAACGTATGTTACATGTACGTTGTTATGTGTGTTAACAGAACAAGATTTTATTCCATATATCTTTCGACTTTTTATATGTCAACATGACAAAGAGCTCATTCAATGTAAAGGGTAGTCACTGTTTTCAAATGGTGTTTAAAAATAAAAAATAAAAAAGCACTTTAAGGTTTTGATTGGTCATGTTGTAAATGGGGAAGGATTTTTGGTATTTGTTCAGCAAAAAATAATAAAGCAGTTTAAAAAAGATTAGAAACGAGTGGCTCTTTAGACCTTGACTTAAGCCCACAACAAAAGGTGAAAGGATATTACAGGTGGAAACACTTGACATCAATCCATCGATGGCTTTAGTATACACGAGTGCTTTCAAGAATCTAGCCCTTACAATACTCAGACACGTCAGTGTCGCAGGTTAATGATTCTGTTCATGCCAAGCTTACGATGCGTCTGCCTCCGTAGGTGATCTGTTGTGCCTAGAAACGTTGGCGCGTGCCGTTGTCATACACGCTTTTGTGCTGCTAGACAAAGGCTGGAGTGAGTCATAATGAAACTCCGGTGGGGGAGAGATGCCGAGCACGGTTACTGAGCACTGGTACCACCTGACCCACACACATATGTTTGTGTCACACTATGGTAACACACTACTGTCATCACAGTGAAGCCACATAAATGGAGCATAGTAATCTTTAATAACTACTATCCTACAGCTGGGGTGGACAATTTGAAGGCATGCTAATGTTATCATGATACATTGTTACAATGTTCTTTTCTGAGTATATCTTGACTAACGTCAATACTTCATCTGCCTTTAAATAAGATCAGCCAACGTATAAAAATTAAATGCTTCAAAATTACTTTTAAACTAATTAATTTTTTTACTAATAAATCTCTTTAGATTATCGTCCTTTAAAAGTAAAGAATGTTTTACCTTGTTCTGTAAAGTTACCGTTTTGGAAATGCACGTTTTTGTTTGGACAGCAACAATATGGAAAATGTTAAAAAGAAGTAAATTATAGTTGAATATAACAGAAATTCATGCCAGGCATACACATCACCTTGTCTCAATGAACTGCACCACTTTCTACTTGGCTATTAAAGCTAAAAGAGGGGAAATGCCTCAAAAAGAATTCACATATGGGAGCTCTTTCATTTTTCTATCAATAAGAAAAATGATCTGCAAAATATTTGCCAATTAAACATGATAAGTTTGATGAATCATCTCAAATATGCAAGTATAGTGATTCTTCTACGAGAACCATCATGCATCCAATCCACACTGCCTCCAATTCACAATGAGCTCCATCATATAACAGCTTTAGGTGGAAATAGCTCTTTTATAATTACAACAGGTTTAAAACTTGACAGCACAAACAGCAGATTTGTTTATTATTACAAAATAAAACAAATTTTACTGCTGTATCATAGAACAGTCTCCTCATCACACTGTTAGTACAGCGCAGGAGCTGCTCTGCGATTACACAAGTTCCTCAAGAAGATGATATTTGTTTAATAAATTATTATTTTAAATACAGGTTTGAATGCCATTGAAAGTCAAAGTGTGTGATTTGACTAGATCTCAAAGGAGTTTACACTTAACCTGTGCGCAAGTGGAAAAAAAGGCTTGATGGACACAAGACGTGCGTCTAGTGCAGGCAGTATGGACTAAAACACTGATTAAAATTACAGCGAATCTGTTCAGCCCGACGGACAACTAAAAAGTGTTACAAATATTATTATTTTTAAGGGTGATATTCAGAACAAGTATTTAAGTACCTGTTTGGGAACAGCAACAAGGTTTCAAAGCCTGTAAAGTGCTGTTAGGATCAGCCCCAATAGAAATCAATGTACAACGTCCAGAAATACTGTAGCCTTATTAAATATTTTGTCTTGATTCAAAAAATTTTGCTCATTTCAACTTGTTGCAAAGCTCTTGTTCAATTCTCAGCACACAGCATTACTGCTTTTAATTATACAGTTTTCTACTCAAAAATTGTAGTACATAGGTCATCGTCACCATCATTTACAGCACTGGCTTCACCTAAGCTAAACCATGTACGATCGACTGCATATCTATAGATGTCGGCATAGATTTAGACTTTTATGACATCTATTTGTTTAATCAACACTGTTCAGTTCTGAGTATACCGTGTCATTTTTTTCCCAAAAAAAGACAGCACAGAGGTCACCCACACCATCATCATTAACAGCGCTTGATGTAGTGCCGTGCCATTAAGGTAATCGATATCCCATTAAAACAGTGTGATCACAGCTAGATGAGGCTTTCATTCAGCAGCCAGTGAGCGAACACCTCATTCGTTCATGACAGTGCGAATTCAATATCCCGATATGGAGTGACAGGGGCGACGCAGCATTCTCGCCTTAGCTACCCTGAAACTCAGAATCCTCTGAGAGAGGCTGAAAATGAGTTCCAGTAAGAAATGATCGCATGCACAGACTATAACCCATTCAACCTAGCGTTCTGCTTCTGCTCCAGCTCGTGTAGTCTCTACAGTTGTAAAACCATATCCGGACCATCGCGCTGCCTCTTTGAGTCTGACACATCACAAAAGCTAAAATACTACCTCAGTAACGTACACCATCAGGCCATAAACCCTTGTATACCAGCCTCAGCTGTTAATCTCCAGCGTCAACCTGCCTTAAAAACGAAGAAAGCTGCTCCTTACTGAGAAAGAGGTACCAGAAAGTGATTGTACTCTGACAGCAGGTCATCCCTGCGTGCTCTATTGTGTGCTGTATTTTAATGACCTTGGAGCTGAGCCCGGGAGGAAGATGCCCGTTTATACTGGACCAGGACCACATCCTAAACTGAATCTGTGAATAAGAATGTAAAACTGACCTCGTGTCAGAGAGAACAGTGAACGTGCACTAACACAATGAGTGGGTGGTTGCTACCAGACCATATTTGCCTAATTGGATATAGTACAGTGTCTTAATTAGAATTAATGATCGTGTGGTTTATGTACACTCCGGTATGGGATTTAACCCAAGGCCAATCAGCTGCAGAGTGAGAGAGAGGGCGAGAGACAGTCAAAAGTAACACACTGATTGTTTTGTGTCTTTTTCTCTAATAAAATTGTGACTTCTTGATAAAAGACACCAAAACTGACATCAAAAGTATTATTATACCTTTAGATTATTCCCCACTACTATGTTTCAATTCATATTATTGTAGAATAATATGGGAGAGCATATGTTGGGGTGATGCTAAGCTACTATGTCAAAAAAATTACATTTCTTTCATTTTAATGTATTTGTGCTGTGTTTGTAATGCTATTCCATGTGAATTTAGTTCATTTTTTTGATACATTTCTATGTATTGGCAGATACGTACATTAAAAATATCACATATAAGCATCAGCCCACAGTTCCTGTCTTCGAGCACCACAACCCAAAACCTTGTATTTCCGTTTATGTCTTTTTTTTTTTTATATTTTTACATTGCTTGCAAATGCCAGCTGTCCTTTACACTGCGTTAAAATTTCATGATGAATGGAGCAACAGAAAAGGTCCCAAAAACGCTCTGGAAAAATAATTTGTATTCAAAGTCACGAACATTTTTCCCCTCTCCTGTTTTGGCGATATGAGGTTTAGTCCCAACAGCGGTGACACGTATTTTGAGAAGTGAAAAGTATTTTGCATAATTTTTTAGGCCTATGTTGAAATACAATATTTTTCATGTACATCCGCCGATAAATACAAAACATACTAACTAGGACTCTACCTGGGTTGGCATTACAGAGAGATATAAGATTTTTTGTAGTGTCACAAATGCAGGAAAATGAACATTTTAGCCCAGCGCCATCTCAATGTTCTGCTCTTTTGGAGTACAACAGATACATTAGCAAATATCAGTTTTATCGAATCTTATCACCTGTCTGATGAAGATCGTTTTATTATCATCTGCCGATACCGATGTGATTCCGATATCATCATGCATCCCTACTCAAGTGACAAGCTGAATAGCTAGCACTGTCAGCTTGGACATGAATTTGATCAACTGTGCACATGTACTGTTTTATCTAATTTTCCATCTGTACGGGAGCCTGGTTTTTAAATGGCCGTGGAGGACAGCACAATTGATTTATTGACTTGGTGGGGCTCTCATTCGACCCAGCTGTTGTGTTCTGGTGCACAGAGGACGTGATGGAAAAGCAGAGCTATTAAAACTGCCCTGAACCAGAGCTATGGAGGGAATCCCCAACAAAAATCCCCCCACACTCACGTATACTCTCCCTGCTCCCAGAAAAAACAAGGGGAACACATCTGATGTCACTGCAGTCCGCCTTTACTACTACAGTGTGCGAACGTTTCAGGCAGTGGCCCACTTCAGCCTGAGCCGAGTGTAAATATAGACCCTACATACATACATACATACAGGCTCCATCCACCTCACGAGCTCCCTATACACAGACCTCTATGGTGTTTCCAATAACGTGGCCCTACAGAGCGTTAGCCTCTATGGAGCGTCTCAGCTGATTCTGTAAGCCCACCACAGACACAGACACACTCGTACAGCCAGTACACGGTAAATTAAAGCCCAGCACGTCTCCTCAGTGAAGAGGCGCTGCTCCCCCCGCCGTCTTTACATCGCAGTTTCCTCACCGTACAAGGCGTTACGGGTTATCTGGCCTCCCATGGCTCAGCGCCGGCTGGCGTCTTCTCCAGGGTCGTCGCGCTGCTCCTCCGTTCTCAAAGTTTGGCGCTGGAGCCGCGGCGCTGCCGTGCCGACGACATGCTCGACTATACGCGTCCACACACACACACGTTCACACGCACACGAGCGCCCGCTCGGAGGTCCGGCTCGGACAGCTCGCGCTGCTGCTGCTGCTGTAAACACACAGCCACTCCTGCCTCATTCACAGGACGCGGCCACGCGCAGGCTCCACACTCTCATTTGCATAAAAGGCTGGGCCAGAACGCGCCTCTCAGCGCGCGGACACGCCCCCTCCCCCTTACCCTATACAAACGCTCTTTGATGCTGAGAGTGAGAACCGGTGTTCCGACGAACTGGGTTAGCGGAACGGCGAACCGTAGAGCACGTTTACAGGTATAGTTCTACATAAAACTGTAGACGGCATATTTTGATAGCCTAAATCACTTTATTAGAAAATGCTAACAGCACTAAAACTGCAATACAGGTACGGCAATACAGGTACGGCAATACAGATACTGGTAATACATATCGAGAACACAGAAATGAAGTATCTGTATTCAGTCCAAGTTACATTTTGTAAAGGTAGAGTTCAAAATACAGTTACTGTTTACATTTTTAGCAGAATACTTTTAGAATACTTACCAACCAAAACACCTAGTCTTCAAAAGAAACACCATCAGTGCTTGTTTATGAACAGCATGTAGCCTGAATTCTAAAAAGGACCCCAGTTAATGGCCTTTTTACAAACACTGAAGGTCTTACTAAAGCCTGAGTGGACTGATAAATCACTGTGATGAGCCAGTTATTAATTTCAGGATTACTGAGCTCTTTTGAGGAATAATGAAACTACACAGATGTATTAAACAACACATTGTGTCTCTAACTAGACACATCAGTATGTTCAGTTAGGGACGACACATTTTATGTTTAAATATTTCTGTGCCCTGTTACATATAACAAATCTTGTGTTATTTGTGGTATATATGTGTTAAAACAAGTAACAGAAGTCAGTGTGTTGTTATTTAACATGTCACTTTTTGTAGGAGCTGCAGTGGACTGACGCAGGCAGTGACAATATTCAGAATAAGCAAATTTTTCATGAAATGTATTAACAGAATAATTATATGAAGGAAACGTCTAGTATTCTAAATGTGTTCGAAATAAGTTAATTTTTATGTATTGTAACAGCATTTCGGAAAGTGTATTCAGTATTTAGCCATCACTGCTTATTCAAAGTATTTTGCCCAACCCTGCTGATAGCCAGTCACCTAATCAGAAAATGCTACCAGTACTGAAATGCATATTTAGGATAATTTGAAATCTCCATATCAGAAAACATTATCAGCATTAAAAAAATTATTAGGATATGTGGATCACCTTATCAGGAGGTAAGTAGAAATATCAAGTCTGTACTGAATTAACATTAAAAACACAATAAAACATTTGAGACCTTAAGTTACTACACTATACTAATGATATGTACATGCTTGTTAGGGGTGCTCGATGGGTAAGACAAACTTTTAGAACCCTGGCGGTCACTTAAATAGTGAAGCTTTCTTTCCCTTTACTTAAAGTAAGCTGCAATCTTCTCAAAAAACTGTTTAACTGGAAAAAAAATCCCAAAATTTAAGACCCAAAGTTTAATGCCAATGTGAAATCCATATTTACCTCTTTCACCTTCTTAGTTTGCATTCCTGGTGAAATTCATCACTTTATGCCATTTTAAAGACCACATTCTTGTTCTCATATAATCGTGGACCTTTAAAAGGCCTTCTGAGATTTGATTTGTTGCAGTGCATCTGTGGGCAAGGAAAAATTATATTACTTAACCAATGAAATAATGCTTTACTTGAGGGGCATCACTAGAGATTCAGGCCCATGTCTGAAGGGTCTAAGCCTTTCCCAATGGGGGTATGGGGGAATTGATATAAAAAGGTTATTTGGTATCATACATATGTACACACATCTATACTATAGACTGGTATCTTCACTCTGTCTATTATATATTTTGAATAAGGCCTAATATTTAATTTAGTACACTATCCTGTCACCACGTCAGCGATTGCCGGCCAACATTGCTGTGCAGAACGATTAGTACCAGATCTCCTCACCCAATCCTTACGAGGTTTGATTTGATTGGCCGAGCCGGGAGTTACACATTTCCCCAATGCTAAACAGCAGGGGTTGCCATCCTCTTATGTTTCGTTAGAAAATCTCTGGATCAGCTGGATTAAAGCAGCACTTCCTAGCATCCTACTAGCACAGTATAATGTGAATATGGAGACATGATGGCCACGTTGAGTAATCAAGAATAAATGACATATACTGCTGATGAACTAATAATGTACATTTATTTTGAGGATGGTGCTAAAGAACTTTTGGGGGGGGCTAAAGACCCCTCTTGATACCATGTTTCACTCAGATTATGTTGTGTTTTGATTTCCAATTCACATTGACTTTAAGTTTCAGCACTGAGTTCCAAAAATGTAATTGTACATCTTTAACTTTATTCTTTGGCATTTAATGTAAGATAAATACTTACGATGTTTTAAGCATGTGGCCACAGGGCCGTTTCTAAACATCTGGGGGCTCTGAGCGACATCCTTGGGGCTGCTTTTTCTTGGTTGGTTGGCTGATTAAAAAAGTGGTAGATGTCACTCTGCACTCTTCAGAAACGTTTAACTTATTTTTATTATTTGTATCATTATGATGAACTATTATGAGTATGAAGATGATGATGATTATTATATATGAATAGATGTTTTAGCTTAGCTGTTATCTTGTTCATTTACTAACTGTAATAATGTAAGCTGTAATTGTTCTGAATAGTTGTTCACTTTGCTGAAAAAGCAGCTTAAGCTCAATAAATTGATTAATAAACTACAATGAATAAATTATAATTGTTTTAATACAGAACTACATCTTAAATAGGAGATGCAACTGGGGGAAATTAACATGTGAATACAACCTTAAATAACTACTTAGTCAAAATGCTATTTTACATAACAATAAATGAAAGCAATTAGCTACCAGTTAGCACTGTGCAAACGCATCATGCCAACTGGTGACTACTAGATTCCATTCATTGTTAGCATATTAGTATTTCTACTGATCCATCTCTTTAATAGTTCCACAATAACTAGATAGCTGTCCTGTCAAATGCTGTACGTATTTATGACAATAGCAACTGCATATTGCTATTCTTCAAAAGGTCTGCATGGAACAACTGAGGAGGAAATGCGATATCAGGACAAATTCACCTTGAGTCAAACCTGCAACCTATGCATAAGTGAATATTGTACAAACTGAGCTAAAGGCAGCAGAATTTATTCGCACTGTTATCAGATCTTTTCTTGGACTGAATTGTCGACATGACTTTGCTCCATTCTAGTCACCTCCCTTTGACCTCCCTTCTGTACTCAGCAATGTTCAAAAGCCCTGGCAGATCATATTGATCTGCATCTTGGGTCAGCCCGTATTGAGCTACACCACAGGATAAGCCAGGAACACAATTTTCCACACAATATTAATAGAATGTACTAAAATACAGGATTGAATCATCAGTCGAGCAAGTTCAAAACCCACCAGACACAACTAGGTCATATTTTACAGTAGTGTAGGCAAGTTGTGATTAGACTAGTCTGTGTTAAGGCCCCAGGAGCTCTCAGGGAAAAAGCACTCACGTTCCTTCCTCTCGGGCATTCTGGGAAGACATCCTCTTCCATATGCTAACATGCCTCTGGCAGATAGAGCATTGACCCTGTAGAGTCAGAGTGCTGACCCAACCTGTCATCACTGCTCTGGGGTAGCTTCTCTTGTTGCAGCACACTACTCTGCTCTGGAGCTGGTACAAGCTCACACATGTCGCTCTGAGATCAGTCTTACCATTGCGTTGTGATGATGTTGTCATAATTAGAGATGGGATGGTTACCAGTTATAATGATTTACCACAGCATAAAACCTGATGATAATCACAACATTTCAAAAATTATTTGTGAGTTTTGATCACACCTTCAACGTATGAAACTGTTTGGCTGTAGGATGAACGGAGGTAAAACTGTGAGCATTGAGGAACAGGAAGAAGATGGTAGAGGTAGTGGAGTGCACTTTTTCAAAAGAGGCAAACGGTACAATGTTATCACAAAGGGTTCTCATAGACATCTAACAAGTCACGTGTCTGTAGACTCTTAAATATCACGTTTCTATATACTCTTATAATGTCACGTTTTTATAGACTTTTAAAAAGTCACGTGTCTGTAGACTCTGAAAAAGTCACATTTCTATAGATAATATATAATATATAACACCTGTGGTCAAACCATTTCAGTATTAGTGCTTTTTTTTGGTAGAGATGACAAAACTATGGTGTAATTCAGTATAAATTATTGATCACTTGTAGCTCATTTTAACAATACAGTGATTATATTAAAAAAGCAATCATTTCGACAGATATTTTGGTAGAAAATGTTCATACCTTTCAATTCCTAGTCATAATTAGATTTACATTGTTCAAGGAGCTGCTCCTAAATTACGTTAAGAGGAAACTCTCTTATTTCTGCATGTCACAGATGTTTTCATTTGGTTTACTAGTCAACAAGATCTCTGCAAAGCTTTTTTATGGCCTTGGCTGGGGAAACTAGGCTGATATCATGCTAACTTCATACAGTTACGTCCAATCATGACTCGCGCAATCAGAAAACCCCCTGAATGTTATGAATGGATCACAGCAAACGTCCTCTGGAGATAATTAACCTAATGAAAGTCTCTCACTCTCCCTTTCTTGATGGTATGGAAAGAATTATGTGCCAAAATCACGTTAGCAATAATATTTACTCCGCAGCCGTCCACCCCTTTTAACAATTAGAACCATGGTAGAAGCCATAACAAACCATGGGGCTTTGGGCCAGAGCACAACGACTTTGATCAAAATGAAATCACCGCTCGCTCCAGAACCGCGGTGTGAGGGCAATAGAGCAGGCATTCTGCCTCACACATGGTGCGCAGATTTTGCAGCTAGCATAGTTTGCGCATGGAACGTGCACGTCATTAAGTAAACGGGGGAGCCGTGTGAATGATGCTAGATCAAGTTGTGGATATGCAGTCATCAGAAGGGCCTTGCCCGGGACGGACACTG